GCCTCTTGGTCCATGTACAGATTCCTTATGAGCACAATTAAGTGTTCTGTAATACTCATATTTTTCAATGTTGCCCATAGCTTGTCATGATCCACATAATCGAAAGCCTTTTCATAGTCAATAAAGCATAGGTAAACATCTTTCTGATATTCTCTGCTTTCAGCCAAGATCCATCGGACATCAGCAATGATATTTTCCCTCATTCCATGGCATCTTCTGAATCAGGCTTGCGCCTCTGGAAGTTTTCTGTCAATGTATGCTTATCTCTATCTATATCCAATGGGGCATAAAAAAGTATGTGCACTAAGGCTCAGTGGGAATACACGAGCAGACATGCGCTCTGATTGGTGATCATGTTCGTTACTGATAAGAGGAAGTGAGGGAAAAACAGCAATGAAATTGCGAGCTAAGCCCTATATCATTCAGTAGATTCCTGTGGACCTGGATGGAGACCTGGTTGGCCAGCAGTGTAGCAAGACCTGGGGACTCGTGGGCCCAGAGTCAGTGACATAGCCACAGAGGACTAGAGTGGAGAGTGAAGTGTCCAGCTGATAAAAAGAGAGGCATATGCATAAGAACACCCACATTTGCAGATAATACCCACTTGACATGGCTTCAGTGACTGGATGATCAGAGCTCAACTAGAAGAAGAAAGAAGAGGGGTAAAAAGAGTAATCTGATACAATTTGATGAACTTGACCTACACCTATGGATGCAGTAGTTCAAAAAGGGAACAAATCTTTACAACAAGAATCATTCCCACCCCCTTCATATACAGAGTAGACAGGGATGGGCAACTTGGACATTGGCTACCCAAAATGGGGGGCTACAAAGGCAAGAAGTGACTAGCTTACACACTTTCAAGAGAAAGCCTAGATCCAGAGGGCTTGGAGGAAGGTAGAAGAAAGGTAGAATCTCCACTGAGTAGTATCCAATCTGTCTGGGTGAGGCTGATAAAAGGAGATGTAGATAGGTCCCTTGTGGTACAGTGGTGAATAATTGTTATCAGGACTGACTGTGAGGGTTGGAAATGTAAAGGTGGATGTTTTGTAGCAAAAGGAGGGGAGTGATTAACTTCGCAGTCTAGGAGCGGAGGTCCTTGGAACCATCAAGGGAGAAGAGCGGAGTGCGAAGACCCTACCCAGAGAAACAGTGATGCCAGAGATGGAGGCAGAGACAATGATGTGGAGAGATAGAGTAGCCGGGGACTCTAGACCCAGAGAGGGAGAGGGGCTGTATGCTGATGACTGGGGTGGGGTGGGGGGGACGGGGGAAGCAGGCTTGCAGGGTATACCCTTTGGTTGGTTGATAATGCGTGGAGAGGACTGTAACCATGGCAATAAAATGATGTATGATGATGTATGATAGGATGAATGTTCTCCCATATAAACTATCACATAATTCACAATAAAACATTAAAAAAAGTTATTAAAAAAAAAGTATGTGGAACAATTCCATTATCTTTCAATTCAACTTTCCACATACTTTTTTATTGTTGTTGTTTACCTGGCACATTTACTAAAGTTAAATGATCCACAAGATCCCCAAGCCCTACGTCCAACACACACACACACACACACACACACACACACCAGGAAGCCATGCCCATAGAGTCACAGGCCCCAAAGCAGGGTTTTTCTGTTCTATGTCTGCAATAAAACTCAGGCATTGGCAGCAGCCTGAGTTGCTCTCAGAACTGTGAGCTGCTGAATCTTCTGGCTTATCCTCTCTGTGACAGTCTGTTTCATGGCATGCTTCTCCTGTAAAGCTGGCTGGATATTCTCCATCTGCTTGGTGGGGAAGTCAATCTTCCTCTTAAAGAAGTCCTTGGCATCCTTAGCTGTCTTCTTTACATAGTAGCCAATTCCCACATCGATGAGCACATGTTCCACATCATGTAATTTTCCAGGAACATACACATAACTTGTCAGTGGGACAAGTAATTCTTTCCCCTCATTGCTCTTGTTCAGCACATTCAGACAGTCCTTGGCTTCCACATACTTGGTCTGTACCACCTTGAGCTGGGCAATGGACGTGGTCAGGAATTCCACTTCCTGGCTCAGCTGCTTCTTGAGCATTTCTAGCTGCGGAAAATTCAGCTCCGTGAAGCTAACTGACTGCGCCTTGTTGGAAAAGCTCCACAGACTTTTGAAGCATATATATATATATGTATATATTCTCCTCCAGCTCAAAGTCCCATGGACTGACAAAAGTACAAACAGGTCTGTGTTGGGAGAAGTACAGCTGAATGCTCCTTAGAACCCAGGATGGCCATACTTCGTTTCTCATACATTAGACATCTTATAAAGAAGGACTGACCAGTCCCTGGAGAAGGATAGCATGCTTGGTAAGGTGGACGTCAGTGAAAAAGAGGAAGATCCCCTAAGAGATGGATTGGTACAGTAGCAGCAGCAATGGGCTCAAGCATAGCAATGATTGCAAAGTTGGCGCAGGACTGGGCAGTGTTTCATTTTGTTTGCTCATAGGGTCAGGCATTTAACAACAACAGTATTTATATTTACACGCACATACTCACTGGTTCTACTTCCCTAGAGAGCCCTAAGACATGAGATGAAGGCCATATCCTGGGCTATGGAAAGGCTAAAGGACACAGGCCCTAGACAGACAAGGAGATGGTAAAGAGAGGACATTAGTCATAAATTATCAAATATGAAGTCATCTCAGGTGGGTGGGTGAGTGGGTGGGAATTCTTAGTAACCCCAAGTCTTTGCCTTGTTCACATGCACGTGATACCAGTCACTCAACAGTTTCCAATAACACCATGGCAGAGAAAAAGAAAGAGACCCGACCACACTTCCCACAGCTCAGAGTTTCAAAGACCACATGTAAGGTATGCTTCAAACAGCCATTGTGCAGCTCAAGCACGTCACAGACTCTAGTCTATAAACACGGTTATATTTACTAGCATGAGCCTGAAATAGAAATGTGGCAGCAAGCTCTTTTTTTATTAACAACATCTCTTTGGTTCACAAGGGGGCACTGGGAAAGGTGTCGTCCATTGCTAATGCCAGAAACAATGGCTGGTGTGGAATGTTCTTTTCTTTCACACTTCTCAGGAAATACCAGGCTACAAGGTTCATAGTCTGACGATCTTAGTGGAAACACTCAGATTTTTCTCTATTTGGTTATGGCTAGTATCCGTGGGTGGCACATTGATTAAAGGGCTCAGCTGCTAACCAAGAGGTAGGCAATTGAAATCCACCAGCAGCTCGCAGGACAAAGATGTAGCAGTCTTGTTATTAAGTGCTGTTGAGTTGGTTCCAACTTATAGCAACCCAGTATAAAGTTTTTGAGGAGTGACTGATGAGTTTGAACCACTGGCCTTGTGGTTCTGCACTTACCCTAACCCTAGGGGACAGCTCTTCTCTGTCCTATGGCGTCTTTGTTATTAGGAATTGAATCAAAGGCAGTGGAGTAGAGAGTCTACGTGGGTTGGTGTTCACAACTGGAAAAACCCAAAACAGGTACTGAGGGAACTTGTAGACTCGCTATTTAAAATAATGTTTTAATTGTTTACAGAATTGTCTCCTGAGTCCCTTCAAGGGCCTTCAGACTTTTGTGATCGAATGCATTTTTCTTAGCATCTAGACAAAAGCAGCAGTCAATGTAGCTGGTATTTTATATTCATTCGTTTCCCATCAAGCTCTGTCTCAGAAATAGACACAGATCTTTAGTTGGTCTGTGAGTATAGGAGTGAGACAAACAGATACAGGACAACAGAAACAAAGAAAGGCAAAGCGACTAGACTAGAACACCTCTTCTGTTCAATTGTCTACCTGTTGGAACTGTCTGTCTGTATGAGGCTAACTTTAAATAGAACTTCTTCTAAGTCAATGGTGGTGTTGGAGCGGGGACGAGAGAAAAACTGAGAAATGTAGAGCAAGGAGAGTGAGAGCAAGAGAAAGAAAAAAAGGAAGAGAGGAAAAGGGGAGGATGGCAGGAAAAGAGGAGCATATGTGGATATTTTTCTTCGCTTTTAACCAGAGATGTCTTACCGCTGTCTGTGGAAGACATATACTTATCACTGAGGATGAATCTAACTGGTCCTCTACCTATTTGGGGACTATGAAGGAGAAGCAGAAGGAAAGGTGCTGATCCTTCAGCCTCAATTGGAGTGGTGGGTGGAAAGTGGAGGGGCAGGAGAGAGGCTGAGGATATCGTGGCTAATGGCACTACCATCCTGGTGCCGGGCGGTCTCCTTCTTCTAATAAGAATCAGAACGAGAAATTGGTGAAACATGTGCAGGCTGGTTGGAATTTTTGTGGGCTGAAGTGATTGTTGGATTTCAACTTCAAGAGGTTATCCTATGTGAAAATAACTTTGCCTGCAAAGATGAATTTGGTTAATACCCTTCCAGGAAAAACAAAGATACTACAATGGAAAGTTTTCTCTTGTCCTGTGAAAGAATTCTAATACTAATACCTCCCTGCATAGCATAGTACCTTATGTTTATTCAAGTTATTTCCACAACTATGATCTCATTTGGTTTGGTAAGGAAGTCAGAGATAATACTGCTCTCTCTATTTTTATCCCTAGGACCTTGGTAGGTTTCCTCCTTTCTGATAATAAAGATTATGTCATCGATCATCTCTTATCTTTTACTTTGGTTACCAGGAAACTCAGAGCCAAACTTGTAGCTCAAACATCACTAATTTTGCTTTCTCCTGGTTTTGATTTTTACTCATATTTTTATTTTCCCTGTGGCTGTTTTTCATTTCTGTTTTTGTTTTTGTTCTCCTTAGAGTTTTGGCTCAAAATCCATAGCATTTGTTTAACAGATATTTCTTGATCCCCCACACTCCCTTTTCCTCTTCCTTGCTTTAATTGTCCCCATAACAGGTAACACCATCTAGCACTTCACAGTTTTTACAGATTTATGGTTTACTATCTCTCTTTGCCCATTCTACCCACCCTACCTATAGTAACAAAGCTCCATGAAGGCAGAAAATTTTATCTCTTTTGTTCTGTATTGTATTCCCAGAGCCTAGAGCAGTCCTGCCCTGGTGTGGCACTGTAGGATAAAGCACGGAACTGCAAAGTCGGTTTGAACTGCAAGGTCGGTGGTTCAAACTCACCAGGCGCTCCTCAGAAACCCTATACAAGGTTCTGCCTCTATGAGGCAGAACCATCTCTATGACACTTAACAATGACAACAAAAGCAGTCCCTGATACATAGTATGCCCTCAATAAATACCTGCATGCCAGGTACTGTGCTAGGAGATGTGACTCAAAGCTGACTCCATGCTTCATCAGAGCTGGGTGAGTGCTTGCACAGTGCTCTGCACTAGAACAGCCTCCCTCATGGGTTAATGCTCTGATGTCACCATCTTGAAATTCTTAATAATTTGGATCAAGGAGCGCTCACATATTCATTTTGCACTGTGCTCTGCAAATTATGTGGCCATTTCTGATGAGAATGTCCAATTTCACTACCTTCATAAAGTTTTTTTTGTCTACTGGGGGAAGTAATCATAAAAGAAAGAAAAGAAAAGAAAAAAGAGAGAGATGCATACATACCACAAATATTTATTTTAACATAAAAGATATATACACACACATGCACAGATATTTATGCATTTGCATGAATCTTTTGATGTAGAGCCAATGTCTTTTCTCTGTTGTCTTTCTTGTATAAACCACACCCTTAATGCATCATCTATGATTTCCTGTTTTCATTTCTTTAAAGTGGAGGGAGAAGTTAAAGACATACTTGAAAAGAAATCTGACTTCAGAATTCTTGTATAATTGTCTCATTACCTATCCAGGCTTTTACAATGGCTTCACTCACACTTAGATAAGCAGCACTTTTTTGTACCTTACCTATCGCCAAGTCTTTCCAAATGAATAAATGTAGGTTTTACATTAAAAAGCCATATTTTTATATGCCGGCTTAATTGACATACATAATATTTAGCTAAATTATGTAAAATTACAGTAACGTCAACAACCAGCATAAATCAATTTGACTTGTACAAATTATTTGATAAGCAAAAATGAAATAAGAAAGAAGCGGACACATGCAGGCATATTGGAGAGTGGTTTGGATATATCAACGTGCTGTGGGCATCTATCAGTGGGGAAAATGTTGGTGAATCTGGAAAGTCAGCTAGATGAATGGTTAGCATATATTGTTATTGTGTGTTACTGAATGGATTCCATAGGATCTTCTAGTGGGTAATCTTTACAGGAGCAGATCACCAGGTCTTTTCTCCCATGGGGTGGCTGGTGGGTTTGAACCACAGAACTTTGGGTTAGCATCCAAGTGCTTTTAAACCAGGGTTTCTTATAAGAATACATGGCGTGGAGATTTAACTAGGTCAGGGAGTTCACAAAAAGCTTTCCTGGGAAATTAATGACACTGATGAAGTCTGCAAAAAATAAAAATAAGAGCTCAGACAGGAAGGAAGATGAGTGTTTTAGACTGTAGGAGTAGCATGTGCAAAGGTCTGGTGGAGGGGCAGAGACATGGCATGCTCAAGGACTTGAAAGTAGGTGGGTATAGCTGGAACCTAGAGAATGAGGAGAATTGTGGGGCACGATGATCTGATGAGTCAAAAGTAGAAGACTTAATAGACCATTATTTCAAGGATTTTAGCTTTTATAGTGGCAGAAAAGACAGCTACTAAGGATTTTAAACAGGGGCATGGCATGATCAGGTTCAGGCTTCATAAGGATTGTTCTGGTTGTAATGGGAGAGCAAATGAAGGGGAACAGGAAGATGATTCAGTGAAACCTGTGAGTGCTGGAACTTGACAGTATGGCCTTGTTTTTCTGGGTCTCTCAAGTTTCCCCCTTATGACAGGTTGTAGTCTTACTATTTTTCTATCATTTGCTTTAGTGGAAAATATTTGTGTTTTGTTTCTCTAACAGGTTTCTTCCTTACATAGGTTCTGGGTTTTTCAGGTTTTGCTGTACTTATAACTTGCTCATTGGTTTGGATATAAAAGGAGAGGAATAATTAATCAAGGATGATGCCTAGATATCTGGCTTGAATGATGGTTCTGGTCATTGAAATAGGAAACATGAAAAGTAATATGTTTTAGAATGAAAAATCCTCCTTTGAACAAGTAAGTGGAAGAGTCAAATTGGATTTACACATATAGGTCTGCTGACAAGAGAAAAGGTATATAGACTGAAGATAAAAATTTGCAAACTAGGTCACCTAAGGTGAAGATCCAGAATGAGAGGGGAAGTCTTTAATGAAGTCCAATGATTAATTGCTAGGGAGTCCTGATGTGGTGTTGTAGGATAAGCACTGGGCTGCTAACTACAAGGTTGGTGGTTCAAACCCATAAGCAACCCTATCCAGAGTCACTATGAGTCAGAACCAACTGGACGACACTTAACAACAATTGCTGGAGAGAGGATGAAGAGCCTATAAAGGGGAGATAGAAGTAGCATCAGTGAGTTTAGAAGAAACCTAGGAGATGTAAGGTGGTGAAACTCAAAGAAAGACAGTGTTCCAAGTAGAGACAGAATCAAAACTCCTGAGAAGCTGAGTAAAATGAGAACTATAGAAATAGCTGCTAGAATGAGCAACATGGAAACCAATAGTGATCTCAGTGCAAGTGTTTCTTGAAGTGAGGAGATGAAGGCAAAATGGAGTGGGTTGATTAGAGAGTGGGAGAAAAGGAGACAGAAGCTCTGCAAATCATTTCTGGGATGGATGTGAACAGACATACATTTCTATTTTATTGTTCAGAAGGCAGATTCAGAGAAACCATAAAACTTGATTTAAGTCACACAGAAAGTCCATAGTCAAGCTATGACTCTAGCCCAGGCCTTTGACTCATCAGAGGGAGCTCTATATGAGGGAAGGAACTTGAGTTTGACACTTGTGGCAAATCACTTATTCATATTTTCTTCTAGTTGCAGTTTCTTCAGCTCTTCTTCATTTTGTCTTCATTTTAGTATCAAATGAGGCAATCATGAAAAGCATCTGACCCTGATTGCACTCAATATATGTCAATTTCCTTGTCTTGTCTTCTAATCCCCCAACTTCCTCCCCGTCTTTAATCCTTAATCCAGGAAGAGAAGGATAAAATGAAAGGAGAGAGCACGTATGGGTATTCATTTTGAGAAGGATGGTGAGCTAACAACGATCTAGAGAGATGTAGGTTAGAAGAAACAGGCAATATAATGACTGCCAAAGAAGTGAGCTAGCAGAATCGGGGGCATCAAGAACTGGAAACTGTCTTTCCCTGGAAGTCTTTCAAGTAAGATAAGTATTCTTTTTTGGGCACTTAAAGCCATTTGTTGAGTGCTGTTGTCTCTGGCTTTCAGAGAGAGTGATACATTAACAAGTTTGAGAACTTTGTAAGCAATTCTGAAACAAACTCTTCATTAGCATTTCAGAGGAATATCGAAATGCCACCACTGAAGTGCAGGCTTCCAGGCCTCCTCAAAGCACACCAGGCAGATTCCTGTGCTGTCAGGTCACTAGGCTGAGTTTCCAAGGGTGACTGAGTGGGAAGGGGCTGCTCGTCCTATCACCCCACCCCTCCATTCTGTGCAAGAAAAGCATGTTGTCCTCTGCTTCAGCCAGAAGATGTTAAACCAATTTAGATGGCTGGGTTTTGGCAGAGGTATTCATTTATTTCAAGTGCTATTTCAGGCATCCTGTTATGTTCCTAGTGGAGCTCAATTCAACAGAGAACAGTTTCTTATCAGCCTGAAACAATACATGTGGAGATTTACCTAAAAGTCTAGGGGAAGTCAAGGGGTAGAGTGAATGACCCCTCCAAGCTCTGCCCCATACAAGGAGTACGTAATTTGTAATGCTGTAGATTCGGTTTGAGTTCTACCTATTGAATTACTGATTTTTCTTTTTCCACCTGAACCAGCCCTAGAAGTTGCAAATGTCATTCCACATGTTTGAAGAAGCTATTTCTAAATGATTCATTCAGTATCATAGTGACAGCCAGAGGCTCTATTGTCTGCTAGTTAGAGGGAAGGTGTGTGTGTGTATGTGTATGTGTGTGTGTGTGAATAAAGCTAATTGGATGTCATCAGAATAAATATGAGAGTGGAAGAACTGCAAGACTGATCAGACTCAGTTTGTGGAAAAGGTTAAATAAATAACCTTAAGACAAGTCCCACGTGAAACAGAGGAAACCCAAAACCTTCCCTCTTTTCAGACTGACACTTCTGTAATTCATGGACTTCCCTAGCCTCAGGGCCTCCCTCTCTGCTTAACTGTTTTCTCTCTACGCCACACAAACTCTTAGGTTAAAAGCATTTACTCTGTTTCTCAAGGATTGGCCACTCAACTATGGCAAAGTTTTCCTTGGTGATTATTTTATTTTATTTTTCGGTGTTTACTTGTCCTTTATTGACTTCAAAGACATTTGGCTGTGTGAACATAACAAATTATGGATTACATTCAGAAGAATGAGAATCACAGAACACTTAATTATGCTCTTAAGGAAACTTGGTGATTTTTAAGCACTAGTTCAACGTTTGGTTTACAATTTAAACATCACCCTCAGTCTTGTCTTCTCATAGAATATTAGATTAAAAGAAGGTCTTAGAGAATCTAGGACAATTTGAGCCCCAAATAAATAACGCCATTAAAGGAATATAACACACTGAATGAACAAAAATTTGTGTATTCACATTGATGCAAATAAACAATTATACAAGGGAGAAGGAAAATCATCATCATTATTGATTTGGGTGAGAAACATCACGGATGTTAAAACTGGTGGTGAAAGTTTCAGGAGTATCAAGAAATTTATATATTTGCAAAATATCTTTTTATAAAATCCTAATAAATTGCATTGTTGCTGTTTTAGGTGTTGTCGAGTCGGTACCAACTCATAGCAACCTGATACACAACATATCAAAACACTGCCCAAACCTGTGCCAACCTCATAATCATTCTTCTGCTTGAGCCCATTTCTGATGCCACTGTGCCAGTCCATTTTGTTGTGGATCTTCCTCTTTTTTGCTGATCCTCCACTTTGTCAAGCATGACTCCAGGGTCTTGGTGGAGTAATTGCTTTATAGTGGCAAAAACTTACAGACACCATCTTAATCAAGTGATCAAAGTGAACATAACCAGTAATGAGACAAATCGACATCACCTGTCTTCTGATAGATGTGCTAAGAATCTATCAGAATATAGTAATATCAGAATTAAGTAATATATAATATTACTTCTGTGGTATTCCAGAGAAAAAGCATAATTTCATCATGAAGAGGAAGCCCCCAGTGATAGAAAAGGCTAATGCACTCAGTTGCTAATCCACTGGAGGTTGATCTATGTTTGACAAACCAACCAATGGAAACTGTATTCTACTGACACATGATGTCTTCCTGAGTTGAAACTGACTTGATAGTAACTGGTGTTTTAATCATGAGGAAACATTAGACAAACCCCTACTTAAAGGACATTATACAAAATAATTGGAATACGAAAGAATGAGGAACTGTTCCAGATTAAGGAAGATTAAACAGACACAGCACATTTATTGAATGCAAGCTTAATTTGAGTTTTCTTTTGCAATAAAGGACATTACCAAGGCAGTTTGTGTCATCTTAAAAACTCTATAGATTAGATAAGAGCATTGGCTCAAAGTTAATTTTCTGCTTTTTATAATTGTTCTAAAGGAGCTCTGGTAGCGTAGTGGTTACGAATTGGACTGTGAACCTTAAGGTCAGCGGTTCGAAACTACCAGCCGCTCCGTGGGAGAAAGATGAGACTTTCTACTCCCGTAAAGATTTACACCCTCGGAAACCCTGTACAGGGTCGCTATGGGTCAGAACCGACTCAAAGGCACTTAACAACAACAACATAATTGTTCTATGGTAACAAAAGAGACTAGTACTTGTCTGTCAGCTTGTTGTACTGTGGTGGCTTGTGTGTTGCTGTGATTCTGAAAGATATACCACTGGTGTTTGAAACACCAGCATGGTTGGCGCTGTTGTACAGATTTCAGTGGCATTTACAGACTAAGACAGACTAAGAAGGAGAGGTGGACTACCTCTAAATAGTCGTTGAAAATCTTATGAATAGCAGTGGAACATTGTCAGATATAATGCCAGAAGATGACCACTCTAAATACGTCTGGGGAAGAGCTCCCTCCACAAAATAGAGTTGACCTTAATGACGTGAATGGAGCAAAGCTTTTGGGGCCCTCATTTGCTGATGAGGCACAATTTAAAATGAGAAGAAATATCTTCAAACATCCATTCTTAATCAGAATCTGAAATGTACAAAGTACGAATCTAGGAAATTTGGAACTTGTCAAAAATTAATTGGAATGCATAAAGATCGATATCCTAGGCATTATTGAACTGAAATGGATTGGTTTTGGCCATTTTGAATTGGGCATCATTACATGGTTAACTATGCCAAGAATGAAAAATTGAAGAGGAATAGAATTACATCCATTGTCAAAAAGAGCATTTTAAGATATATCTTGAAGTAGAATGATGTCTGTGATGGGACAATATCCATATGCCTACAAGAAAGACCAGTGAATACCATTATTGCTCAAATTTATGCACTAATCACTAAAGCCAGTGATGATTAAATTGAAGAATTATATCAACTTCTTTTGATCACTTTAACTCTTTTTTTTAAACACTCAGGCATATATAATAATTTATACCACCAAAGGGCACATTCTGCAAGTCTGACTCCTGGCCACCAGCTCTCAGTCCTTCTCTCTATCAATTTCTTCAGTCTGAAATTGATCAAACAAGCATTGAAAATTACTGGTGATTGGAATGCAAGTGGAAGGAGCAGGTGTTGGAAAACAGACTTTTGGTGATAGACATGATACTGGAGATCATATGACCAATGACTTATTCATATAAACAACATGAAACACACAGCTATACACATGTATCTCACCACATGGAATAAACAGGAATCAAATTGGCTACACCAGTGGGAAGAGACAGTGGAAAAGCTCCATATCATCAGACAAAACAAGGCCAGAGATGACTGTGGAATAGACCATCAATTACTCCTATGAAAGGTTAAGCTAAAACTGCATAAAATTAAAATAAGTCCACGGCAACCAAAATATGACCTTGAACAAATCCCACCTGAATTTAGAGACCATCTTAAAAACAGATTTAATGCATTAGACACTAAAGGCTGAAAACCAGAAGAGTTCTGTGATGACATCAAGAACATCATCCATGTAAAAAGCAAAAAGTGATTAAAGAGACAGGAAAGAAAGAAAAGATCAAAATGGATGTCAGAAGAGACTTGGAAACTTGCTCTTGAATCTGGAGAAGCTAAAGTGACTGGAGGAAATGAATAAGTAAAAGAGCTAAACAGAAGTTTTTAAAGGGCAGCTTGAGAAGACAAATATTATCATGGAATATGCAAAGACCAGGGGTTGTTGTTGTTGTTAGGTGCCATCAAGTTGTTACCAACTCATACTGACTCTATGCACAACAGAACAAATCACTTCCTGGTCCTGCATCAACCTCATGATCGCTGCTACAATTGAGCCCATTGCTTCAGCCGCCATGTCAGTCCATCTCATTGGAGGTCTTCCTCTTTTTCTGGGACCCTCCACTTTACCAAATATGATGTCCTTCTCCAGGGACTGGTCCCTCCTGATAACATGTCCCAAGTATACGAGACAAAGTTTGGCCATCCTTGCTTCCCAGGAGCATTCTGGTTGTACTTCTTCCAACATAGATTGGTTTGTTCTTTTGGCAGTTCATGGTACTTTTAATATTCTCATCCAACACCATAACTCAAATGCAACAATTCTTCTGTGGTCTTCCTTATTCACTGTCCAACTTTCACATGCATATGAGGCTATTGAAAATACCATGGCTTAGGTTAGGTGCACCTTAGTCCTGAAACTGACATCTTTGCCTCTGAACACTTGGACGAGGTCTTTGTGCAGTGGATTTGCCTAATGCAATACGTTGTTTGGTTTCTTGACTGCTGCTTCCATGAGTGTAGATGGTTGATCCAAGAAAAATGACGTATTTAACAACTTCAATCTTTTCTCCATTTATGGATGTTGTTTATTGGTCCAGTGCTGAGGATTTTTGGTTTGTTTACATTGAGGTGCAATCCATACCAAAGGTTGTGGTCTTTGATCTTCATCAGTAAGTATTTTAAGTCCTCTTCACTTTCAGCAAGCAAGGTTGTATCATCTGCATATCGCAGGTTGTTAATGAGTCTTCCTCCAATCCTGATGCCATATGTTTCTTTATATAATCTAGCTTCTCTGGTTATGTGCTCAGCATACACTGTTCGAAACCCAAATCTGTCATGAATTAATATATCACAAACAGAGCCTTGGCTGATTTGCAAATGATTTTCCACATAATCCACTGTCACTCATCTATTCATCAGAATCGTTTCATGTGCATGCTCATTGTTGTCATCATTTGTGGATGTGGGCAGGCATTTTTCTATAACTGGAGTGCAGATAATTTTTGATTCATCCTCATATATAGTTGAAAAGTAACTTGATTGAATTCATTGTCCTAGCTTTTGCACATCATCTGGGACTGACAATTCTCATTGGCTGTTTTCTAGGACGTGAGCAAGAGCATACCCTCGTGTCTGTATCATGGCACAGAGCATTGCTTGCTATCTTGGCTGGAGTTGCTGGACCCACAGATGTGGATGTACAAGACAATTCTCTGGTAATGGATCAACAACCTGTTATCTATTAATATAATCTGACCTTGCCCAGTAACCACTCATGTTGATTTCAGTTGCATAATGGGTAAATGTAACAAGAGTCAGATTGGACAATTCGCATTTACCACTTCTTGTTTATTAGAACAAAACAGTATACTCTCAAGATACCCACTGAGAGAAGGAGGTTTAATTGCACAGAAGAACCCTTAAGAGACAGAAGTCAGCAAAGGTGTTGAAGCGGTAGGGGCCTCAGACCTTACACAATCTTGCATGTAGGTGCCCTTGCAACCCTCTGGGAACTTTCTTTCCAGCCCACACTTTCTCACACACTGGAAGAATATCCATTTCATTTAGTGTCTGACAGTTTCCTTCTATGGTGGCACTCACTTTTCCTTGTGTCTGTTTGGTATCTGAGACTTGGCATTGGACAACAGGTGTCCCTGTTTTCTTGATGTTCTAAGTATGTGCTTATCTTACTTATTGAGTTATCCATCCAGCAGCTATATATACATGAGAATCACCTGGGGATCCTGTTAAAATGTAGATAGATTTTGATTCAGTATATTTGGGGTGGAAAGGCAAATTATCAGCAAGGATTTGAACCAGAATGAATCGGTTGAAAGGCCTGCTTCAAACCCAATCAGAGGATCAAAGGTAGAAAGACCTGGTCACTAGCTCCTAGAAAGATTGTTGTTTTGAAGTGCACCAAATTGATTCCAACCCATAGCGACCCTGTATAAGGTTTCCAAGGAGCAGCTAGTGAGCTTGAACCACCGACCTGTGGTTCAAACAACTTTGCAGTCTGACGCATTAGCCCACAGTGCCGCACCAGGAAGGATTATAGCCTAGAAAACCCAATGGAGCAGTTCTACTCTGTCACATGGGACTGCCATGAGTTGAAAATTAACTTGATGGCACCAAACAACAACAATCCCTGATATTGTTCTAGGGAGATCTGTGACTTTGGGCAGGATGTTGAATTGGTGCTGCGTTAATTTTGACTGTACAAAATGCTTATTTTTCTTTTTACCCTCTATTATCCAGGAATGCCTTGACATGTTATTGTTGAGACTTAAACATTTTCAGTTCTTAGAAATGGATACTTCCTAAAAGCAATCTCAGATGAATATGTTTGTATTCATTATCCTTAAAGAACTACCCACATATGGTTTTTCTCCATCCACAAAACATCTGGGTGGTGTATATGTTTTATCTTCATTTTGATATTGTATGGAAGAACTGCAGGGAGGGAGATAATGGAAATCTAGTTTCCAGCTGGACTGTGAACTGAATTTCATAACATGAGGCCATTCCTCCTAATCCCTTGCCACCTTCCTCTAGCAAATCCAAACTCCTTACCAAGTGGCTCATAATCTGCTTTCTCTTCTCAGCATTTGGGATGAGGAAAACACAAGAACTGATATATATATATACACACATATACACACTTTC